ATCGTTACACAGACGGTCTATTTATATAGGGGTCGCATGAACAAGTTTGAGTGTACTGGATGCATACATCAATTTGAAATCAAAAGTTATCGTGAACGACCTACTTCCATGTCTTTCTTTTTTTTAACTGAATTCATTGCCTGTTGTGTTGAAATTTAAAATACGGTTATTTAAAAACTTTTCGTCGTTGTGTGAAATTTGAAGAATAAAAAGATATGAAAATGTTTCATCAACAGTCAATGGTTATTCACAGTAATTTTTCGAGTAGGGGAACATGGAGGTCATTATCTTCATATTGGTGTCATTAATGTACTCCAGAAATGTGGTAATTGCAGTATTACACATCAGGTTTTCTCATCTGTTTTTAAAAGCCATTTCCTTCATTGTAAAATATATATACACGTGTACAGGTCCTTCCCGCTGTCGTCACTGCGGAACTGCTCCGTGTCCGGTGAAAAGGAGATCCTTATGGAAGCCCTCCGAATCTCGCAAAAGGGACAAAGTCAATTTCGCAGCACGGTCAAAGGCCATGATGATGTTTAACTATGGACTAGAGTTGTCCGTGGTGCTGACCAAGGGGCTGCCCCAGGATGACCTGTACTTGGAGAGGAAGTTCTGCCAGCGATTTGAGGAGGAGCACATGGCGCTGTTCCCACTGTGCATCCAGCGCCAGATCAACTACTGGTTCCCACTCCCTCGCTAGGTACATCTACGTATACGTACATGTACACTGTCCCTCACTAGGCCATATCTATAATGTACAATTCACTCTCCTTTCAGTGGGCAACATGCAATGTGCTAAATAACACGCTATCATAATGTGTACGCCAATTTTTATAGCAACTTGTCTGATTGATTTATAGTTATCACACGACAGGAAAATAAAACATCGGGCTTATTTCCCGCGCTCGAGTTTCCACGGCAATGTTTTACTTATTCAAAGCCTCTCTAGTAATGATGCCAAAATGTACCTGTGTTCCGAGTGACTGAAGCATACGACAATAATGGCGCGGAAGTCGTTGTGTTCTGTACTATCATTGTATCATTATTTATTTAAGGATTGGTAACGCGCACCATTAAATATATCGCAAGCCCGATGTAGTTTACACGCCAATAAACGTCAAAAATATGACAACCAATCCTTATATTTATATTCCAAACCAACAATATTAGTTGTGCAATGTTGCGAGTATTGTTAATTGCTGTTTTAAAACTCTTATACACACCGACTGGGTCAGCGGTAAATTGTTCGGAACAGCCGGGTAGTTTCGCATTCCACAGTCGTTGTCAAGGGCAACCAGGCCGACAAAAACAATAAACAAGAAAGTTCCAAAGTAAACACATCAATTTAATAATTGATTTTTTTTTTTATTTAAAGGCATATATGTCAATTACCAATTTGTATATTAACATGTGACCATTTTAATATATGTTGTGGTCATTTAGCGATTTAACTGTCATACAATAACATTTTAAGACACAACACAGCGGAACATCGCCACTTGGCGGTAATTAGGTCAGTGTATCTACACTACACTGACCTAATCCCCGTTGTAGTTCATTGGAAAATATGTTACAATGGGACCAGTAGAGTAATCTAGGCACTATGCAGTGCAAATGTAAATATAAATATATGATATACACTGGTAAGACAACAGAAGGATTTACCTACAAAAAAAACAAAATATTATTATTTTATCTTTTATTGCAGATTCATTGCACTGATCAAGGAGAAGAATATCTACGACAGTCAAACATGGAATGAAAGTTTTCCGATGACGTCATCGACTGATATGTGTGATAATAGCATATCGAACTCGTCCTCCATTTAGTGTTGATTATTATTTGTTTTATTGATGTTTTGTTACTGTGGTTAGTTCCAATAGGAACTATTCTTACTATCTGGATCTTTGCAATTGGTGTTGACCAGTGGTCACTCAACGTAGAAAATGTGCTTTGCATAAATAATGCCGGAAGGTTAATTATTATATTTGGCAGTTTGAAGACAATTGATCTTGATCACTAGGAGTCTCGTGAAAAAAGAGGACCGACGATTGTTGAATAAGTACAGTTCAGATATAACATTGCAAAGCTTGACCTCTATTAATAGCCATTTGGAAAATTGTTGATCTTGACCAAAAGTGTTCACAAATTAATTGTGTCTATGCTTGCTGAATCGGTCAATTCTACTGTTAGTCTGTCGGATCCTGATCGCTAGTGGTCACATATAGAAGGTGTCTATGCTTGCTTTATCGGTCATTTCTTACTCTGTCGCGTCTTGATCGCTAGTGGTTACATTAAGAGGGTGTCTATGCTTGCTTTATCGGTCAGTTCTTACACTGTCAAGTCTTGACCGCTTGCTTGCTTTATCATTAGTTCTTACTCTGTCTATTCTTGACCGATAGTGGTCACATGTAGAATATTGTAACGTGGCAGCCCCGTATAAATGGGTGATTTCAACCAC